GTACTAGAGGGGGTAGCCGTGTCCTCCTCCAGGGGATCTTCCTGATCCATGGATCGAAGCTAGGTTTCTTGCACTGCAGGCAAAGTGTTTGCCTTCTGAGCCATGAGGGAAGCCCGTGTGTGTGTGTGTGTGTGTGTGTGTGTGTGTGTGTATGTATATGTATGGTCATGCTCAGTCACTTCAGTCGTGTCCGACTCCCTGCAACCCCGTGGACCATGGCCAGCCAGGCTCCTCTGTCCATGGGATTTTCCAGGCAAGAATACTGGAGTGGGTTGCCATTTCCTTCTCCCACTTAGACTCTTGAACGGGCCTCAGTTCTTTCAACTGTAAAAATGGGACTAATACCTTCAAGGGAGAAGCAAGGACTAATAAATAAAAGCATTTTATAAAAGTCAGAGGGAAACACAAATGGATGAATGCTTAAGCGCCAATTATGTGATGGGATCACGTATTTCCCTGTGAACCTGATGCAGTCTTATGAGATGCAGTTGGCTAATTTTTATGCTTGGGACTATTTCAAGTAAAAATGAGTCTGTATTTTTGAATTCTAGAAGAGCCTGGTTTCTTTATGAAGCAGCCATCTTAGGCTTCTCTCAGAAAAGCTAAGAATTTTTCAATTACACGGAGATTTGACATCAGTGTTTCAGTTTTTAGTTTCATTTAGCACTAAATTTTTTGCCTGTCCTCAATATAGAGAAAATTTCATTTATTTTTAAAAACTATTTCTAACCTGCAAGATTTCTTGACTTGTGACAATTAGGGTAGCATTAATAAGCCTTTTTCTTAAACTAATCTTTTCTCCAGCCCAACTGTAAGATGCTTAAAACGACTCCTTTCTTTTTTATCCAGAGCCTTTTATTTTATGGAAATCATACCTGTCTGGGGATTTAACAGAATATTTGAATAAAAATGTATTCATTCATTACCACAAGTTCTTCTCTGAATTGGGTGTTTTCACCTTAATCGCATTGAGCTAATCAAGTCCTAATGAGGGCGCATTAAATTCAATCTCAGAAGGTATAATTTTCCAATAGAATCTAAACAATGGATGACCTTTAGAGTGCCTTTCAGAAATATAGCATTGCTTTAGTTACTCCAGTAAGCAGGGGATAAGACAGAAGGAAAAACCATTTTACTTGGACAACGGCTGCTGTGTGTTGTTGAAATGAGGCTCTTCATTTCTCCTTGCCTTTTCTAGCCCGCTTCCATGAGTACAATGTCTTTTTAACATCCCTCTCAGGGCAGTACAGAGGCCCCATCCATCTCGAGACGTCGTGGCTGCTGCAGCCGAGCATCTCATTACGGCACCGTGAAGCATGCCGGGAGGGTGGACGGAGCTGCAGACGGCAGCAGGAAATGGGGAGGGAAGAGGAGGCGGCACGCTGTGGAAAAGACATGCCCACTTCCTTGGTTCTGCGTCATGGAAGTATGAATTTGCTGTTTTACAAAGAAAAGACTATGTAGGATGTCAAAAAACCTGTGACTGAGCAGATTCCAGCCCCTACAACCTGGGTGCACCGCCTCAGACACCCCACACCTCCCGACAGTCACACCTGAACCCCAGTCGGAGCTACCACGGGAGCCATGTCGGTAGGAAGAAAGCATGAAGCCAAGCATTTAAGGGGAAAAAAAAAAAACTATGGTTCCAAAAATGATACAGGAAAGAATTTTGACACACAGACAAACCACCAACGGAATTGAAAACTATGTTCTTCCAACTAATCTGAATGCTTCCATTTTAGTTTGTTCCACTGCCTTAACCAAAATAGGTTAAAGCAAATGCCCTTAACATTTTGAGAATCACAGACTCCTTTAAGAATCACTGAGAATGATGACTCTCTGTCAAAGGCCTGAAACCTACCTACGTCCACCCCATCACCCCCTAAATTAAGGATTCCTAGATGAGAAATTCATTTTAGTTTACAAGTTTTTCCTTTTTAAAATCCATGTACCTTAGGGACAGTCCGTGGCTAGCAGTAATTTAGTTATTGAGAGATGAGTTCCTCTCTGTTAGCTTTCCTTCAGGCAGGCTGACTTCTGAGCCTGCATTCAGATAAGGGGAGTGGAGGGTGAGGTGAGCAATTTCAGGTGGGGAAGGGCAGCATTTTCAGGGCGGTGTGCATGTAGCAGACACAGAGAGTGTCTCACAGAGGGGCTCTCTGGAGAGGAGGTGCCAAAAATAAATTTCATCTCTACAAATTTTGCTTACCTCCAGTTCCAAACTGGGTTGCCGTCAAAACTGCTCTTTCTGCATCACCCACATTCAGACTGTGGGCCCTACCCTGCCCACTGTCGCCTCATGCCTTCTGTGTCCCTTAATTGTTTCTTCCCCACATCCCCAACCCCAGGTCCTCATCAGCTCCAGCTGGGCTCTAGGCCTCCCAGCAGCCCCCTCCTCCTCCACCCCCCACCTCACAATCTGGTGGGTTTATCCTGTAAGTCCTGCCTTGCATCTCTATAACCGCTTCCATTTTATTCTCCATTCTTCCATCCTCATGATCACTTTTTCTGGCTGCTAAGCTCTATCACCACAACTTCAGCCTGTTCTAAGCCTCTATTCAAATCCTATAACTTCAACTTTGGGAAACATTTCAAGTTTCAGACGGTAGATTGAAGGATATAAATTTTGGCAAACACTTAAGTTTTGCAATACCACTCACTTGGCACCAGGTACTATTCTAGTGCTCGTGTGGATTCGTTTAACCTTCCCAACAATCCCATTTGCTCGCTTGCTCGTGTTTGCTCAGTCATGTCCGACTCTTTGCAACCCCATGGACTGTAGTTAACCAGGCTCCTCTGTCCCTGGGATTTTCCAGTCACGAATACTGTAGTGGGTTGCCATGCCCTTCTCCAGGGGATCTTCCCAACCCAGGAATTGAACACATGGCTCCTACAGCTCTTATATTGACAGCCAGATTCTTTATCACTAGTGCCACCTGGGAAGGCCAACAATCTCACTAGGCGGAAACGTCTGTTCAATTCATTTTACAGGTGAAGAGACCAAGGCATAAGTAGGTAAACTAACTTGCCCAGAGTCATACAGCTAGTGAGTGACAGAACCAAGGGAATTACACCGACACAGACTGGCTTCGGATCTATACTTTTGGTCACTATGCTATGTTGCATCTTTGTAAAGTATTTTACAAGTGGTTGCTTACCCACCCAATTCCCTCTCCGCCAACACACACTTCAGGACCTCTAATGTGGAAGCTGTAAGCAGTTACACCTTGTATAGTGCTAGGGGTCCCGGCAATGTCCTGTATTCTCACCATTCATCATTAGTGGTAACATGGGACACAGTTTCCCCAGTTCTAGGGTGTGGAATTTTATTCTCTTGTTAAACAGAGCCTTGGGTGCAGCAATGGGATGGTGTGTTGGGGTGTGTGAGAGGGTCCAGAGTAGCGGTGCTATTATAGGATTGCCACCGAACCCAGCTCCAGACTGTGCCACTCATTCCCGTCTTGCCACATCCCCTTGGAAGCCTTCTCTCCCTCTTCCAGTCTCCCTCCCAGGTGCCAGGAGCTTGTATTGTGGAGACTGGTAGATGGCCCTCCTGGACAGACTAAACCCACTTTCAGAACCAGACCCATCCTTAAGGAGTTAAGGCATACCTCACTGTTCCCCAATAGGAACAAGATTGACAAAGACTGAGCTTAGCTTAAACAACATCCTCAAGGAGTTGCTTGAAAAGTTGGAAGGAAAACAGACAAACAGCAGCAGGTTATTGTACTTAATGGACATGGGAAGGGTTTAGGGCCAACTGTGTACATAAGAGCCTCAAGCATTTTAGCATCTTGAAATGGAGACATTTCTTTGCTCCCTGCCTCCCTTAGTCAGTCTCATCCCTGGAGCAAAGCTATCCTCAACCCCCAACCAGCACACATACAAAGTACAGTTGTCCCTTGAACTATTGGAGGGGGGTGGTTTGGGAGCACCAAAAGTTTGCATATAACTTTTGACTCCTCCAAAACTTAATTCCTAATAGCCTAATAGCCTACTATTGACTGGAAACCTTACTGATAGACTGTTGACCTACATATCTGTACATTATATGTAACATACTGTATTCTTACAGTAAAGTAAGCTCAAGAAATGTTATTAAGGAAATCATAAGGATGAGAAAGTATATTTACAATACTGTATCAATACTGTAACCTTAAGCTTTATGAGTCATCTGTTAGTATCAACATCAATATTGTCTAATATGATACAGAGCACTATAAATATTATGTATTACTAACACTAGTCATCGAAAAAGGAAGAGATAATGTGAAAAATAAGTTCATATATTGGTAATGAAGAAGCAACAGTATGATTGCTTTAATGTAGCTTGTTGCCATTGTTGTTCAGTCGCTAAGTCGTGTCTGACTCTGTGACCCCATGGACTGCAACGCACCAGGCATCCATGTCCCTCACTGTCTACTGGAGTTTGCCCAAGTTCATGTCCATGTAGCTTCTGTAATTCATTTGATTGCTTCTCAGTAGCCTTCTCAGAAGCATTGCTTCACATGCTTCTCATGTGAATGAATCATTATAAAATTTCTATGGCATTAGTGTCATATTCATAACACAGTGTTGGAAACATTGCAACGTATTTTTTAAAAACCATTTACCTGTGATGATAGGCTGATATGCAGTGTCTCCAATTATGAGAGAGAGAAGCATACTTTACAGTAATGTAATTCTTTGAAAGCAAAGTTATAAAACAGCAAGACAACTAACACTTTATTAATTTTATATTATCACTCACCTTATGCCTAGCTACATAAAGAAAGGCTGATCACTTCAATACAAATCTTGAACACAGTGTTCTACAAGTATATTTTTGTATATTTATTGAAAACCACATAAAAATGGACCCATGCAGTTCAAACCATGCTATTCGAGGGTCAGCTATATACATCAACCCCACGATGATCAGCCTAATTCATACATGCAAAAGATGCTTATACTCAGGATCTATTTTGATTATCAAAACTTACCTGTCCAATGTCTCATTCCCTCAGATCCTTGTGGATGAGTGGCTTGCTGTTCTTGGATAAGCTAATTCAGGAGAAAATATGGGTGAGTTAACATGGTATCCCTTACAAAGATATTTACTCTTAAAAAAAAAAACAACTTCTGGCAAACAAATGACTCAATACCAATCCCTAACATACTGCCCTAGCCAGCCCCTCACCCTGAGATGCCATCCCTCCTTCCCCTGCCTGCCCCCTAAGTGTAAAGCTCACCTCCATTAAGTCTTCCTTGACTGAGGCTGCCCACAGTCATGTCTTTTTCCACTTAACACCTGTAGCACTGGAACAGAATTTGGCAAGAGGAAACAGAACCAGAACAAAAGGGAATAGAACACTGGGCTGGATGATCTCAGAGGTGAGCTCAGCTGATTCCCTCATTTCACAGGTGAGGAAACAAAGACACCAAGTGACCAGCCCAGGGCAAGTCAGCAGCGGTGTGGGGGCCATCAGAGTTGATTCTGTCCAGCCTTCCCCTCTTTCGCTAGCAAGGGCCTCCTCTTCTTTTGGGGAACTGCTCACCCCACCATTCACCAAACAGCTTGGAGAGGAATTGCCTGTCAGGGTGCTCCCACTCCCAGTGGACATGTGATCTCAAGTGGGCTGGCTAGCATCCTTCCCTGGAATTCTAAAATTCAGAAGTAAGAAGCAGCAGCCTTCTCTGTCTGTGGGCTTATAAGCTGCCAGCAAGCATAGCCCCCTGCTCATTAAAAAAAGCCAGTCCCAGAGAAATAAAGAAACACACACTCGTTTGTTTGTGCATCCATTTATTCATGAAACAAACATTATTTATTAAGGACTTCTCATGTGCCAGACACTGCTGGGCCCTTGGAATCACATGTTGGGCAAAAGCAGACCCAACTGCTGTCCTTGTGGAGCTTACAAGTTTGCAGGGGAGACATTCCTTAAGTAATCATGCAAGCAAAGTAAAACTGCTATTTTGACAAGTAGTAAGGAGAAAAGGAACAGTGTTCTGAGAACACACAGTAGAATACAGGGTTTTGGTTTGGGTTTTGTATTTTGTGTGTGTGAGCACCACATCACTTTACTACTTTGGTTTTCCAACTTCCCTCTCACAATGCCGATTCAGTCTCTCACTTGACTGGTCAGTGGTGTCGTCCCTCACTGAGGATGGCCATGGTCCCTGAGGAGAGGCTCAACAGAAAGACTGGGGTCTCCAGGTGCCAGCCAAACTAGCTGAGGACTGCGGGGTCCACAGCAGATGGGCTAGTTTGTACCTGGCATTAAGTTGTACTGCCAAGGAGGGAAGGGGGCTGAAACCCCACCTGGAGTCTCCTAACCAAGCCACAGGGCCTGGTATAAAGCTGTGTGTGCCAAGAGGCCGGAGACCCTATTTTTCACACACTGGCATTGTCCCCTCAAAAAGGGTCACCTTTTTCTAATTGGCCCCCAAAGGCTTGAATAAATCTAGCCGGCTTTCTGGGTGTGATTCAATCAGGCTGCTGAGCAGGGGGAGTGGAGGCTTTCCTGAGGAAGTGACTGGACACATGAATAATGAAGGCGAAGGTGAAAATCAAAGTCATTCAGTCATGTCAACTCTTTGGGACCCCGTGGGCTGTAGCCCACCAGCCATGTCCATGGAATTCTCCAGGCAAGAATACTAGAGTGGGTTGCCATTCCCTTGTCTAGGGGATCTTCCCGACCCAGGGATTGAACCTGGGTCTCCAGTGAGCAGTAAACTAAGTTGGGGGGAAGAATTTTTTCAGACACAAGCCTGTGCACTGACCTTGTCTTGATGGCTATCTAGTCCCAGACTCCAGTCACTTCTGAAGCCTAAGAGGTCCCCTACCCTTCCAAGGGATTGCTGTCCTGACCATACATTCCCTCTTTGCAATTCAGGTTAGGTTTCTGTCACTTGCAATCAGGAGAGTTCTGACTCAGAGCCAAGCTGGACCACCTCTCCTTCCCCCCAAGTCTCCTTCGCCCTGCCAGGCCCCACCCTCCCGTCTGGAGAACCTCCACTCTGTGTGGCCGCCTCACCTTCAGAGCAGGAGCTCTGTCTTCGATGATCTAGCACTGTCTCCAGCACGTAACTAGAAACTCAATAAATATCTCATCCATCAAGGGTTGTTTAATCTGCTGGTGATCTTTGTTTCCACTAGGACTGGAAGATGTGGTGAAGAATTAGAGGACACAATGGCTTTTCTGTACCTTTGTCATCACCCACCAAGTTCATCCATGGTTTCTACTGTCTCTGAGCATACAGCCTCCAGTTTATACTTATACTGATAGAGAGCTCTGATTTGTCTGTTAGAGTTTGGCTATGGGGAGCCAGTGGGATTCATTTCACAAGGAAGAATCAGCGATCTTTATTCTGTCTCTGCACACTTCATGTCAGTGGGCCACCTTTAAGATGAAGCACATTCCAGATATGAGAGTCTATGCATGTGTGCATGCTAAGTTGCTTCAGTCATGTCCGACTCTTTGCGGCCCTTTGGACTGTGGCCCACCAGGCTCCTCTGTCCGTGGGATTTCCCAGGTAAGAATACTAAAGTGGGTCACCATACCCTCCTCCAGAGGATCTTCCCAGCCCAGGGATCGAACCCACATGTATTACATCTCCTGCATTGGCAGGTGGATTCTTACTGAGTCACCACGGAGACCCCTGAAAGTCTGTAGTCGGATGTTAAAGATGGTCTTTACTCTGTGCTTAATATCTGCTAGAACCCTGCCTAGAAGTGTCAGGAAACTTGAGTTCCTCTGTGGTTTTATGAGCCAGGAACAGTCTGCTTTCCCGTTGGTCTTTGTTTTATTCTCAAACTAAGGGCAGTCATTCTTCCTTCCCTTCCAACCCCAGGGCCTGAACCATTTCAGCTTCATGGTATAGCTCATGCCACCACTGCTACTATTAGTCTTGTTGTTGTGGTTCTTTTTAAATCTGGTATTTGAGGCTTTTTGAGATTCATGTCTCCTTTTAATAAGCCAAACTCTAATGCTTGAATGCACTCTGTTCTACAGAGACTGGCGAATGAGCCAACATTAGGAATAAGAATCAGAGAATTTGATTGATTTTCTTCACTGTCTCAAGACTCACGGGTTGAGGAACAGCGCTTCATCTTAAAGGTGTCCCACTGACATGAAGCGTGCAGAGACAGAATAAAGATCGCTGATTCTTCCTTGTGAAATGTCATGTTAGGTGGTCTCCGTCCTGCTGTTGTTTCATACTTCGGAACCAGATTTTGGTACACAGGAATCAGTATACATCATCCTATTCTTGAATCTGAAACTTTGGTCTAGAAAAGCAGTTTTAAATCTTTTTTTTTTTTTTTTGCCATAGTACACCTGAAAAATATGTTCCCATCAGCAACTTGTTCCCACAAACTTATTAACATCAGGAATAAGGCAATATTATACCATAGATTTGTATATATGCAGGTGGCCCTGTTTTCCATTCAAGAAAGCACATCAGAACACAAGGAAGTGAAGTTTATGTTAGTATAAACTTTTAATCAAATTAATTAATTTTTTTAGAAAAATATGGCCTACAGATTGGGGAGATATTTTTGATTCACATATCTAACAAGAGTTGGTATACAGAATGTATTTTTTTTAATGCTTAAAATTCAAAAACACAGTCACCCAAATTTTAAAATGGGCAAAGAATTTAAATAGACATTTTTCCAAAAAAGATACACAAATGACCAACAAGCAAATGAAAAGATGCTCCACATCATTAGTCATTAGGGAAATGCAAATCAAAGCCACAACGAGATACCACTTTGTATCCACTAGGATAGCTATGATAAAAATTTAAAAAAAGAAGAAATATGTAAAAATGTGGAAGAGGATGTGGGGAAACTGGGGATCTCGTCTTTTTCTGGTGGGGATATAAAATGCTTCAGTCATTGCAGGAAATAGTTTGGCAGTTCCTCAAAATCTAAACATAGAATTGTCATTAAAAAATAATAAAGTTAGTTGTTCAGTTGTGTCTGACGCTTTGTGACCCCATGGCCCGTAGCTCGCCAGGCTCTTCTGTCCATAGGGATTCTCCAGGCAAGAATACTGGAGTAGGGAGCCATTCCCTTTTCCAGGGGATCTTCCCAACCCAGTGATCAAACCCCGGTCTCCTGCATTGCAGGCAGATACTTTACCAGGGAAGCCCCAAGAATTGTCATATGACCCAGCAGTTCTACTCCTAGGTATATACCTAAAACAAACAAGTGTTGGGGAGTAACTGCTTCATGGGTACAGGATTTTACTGTTGAATGATAAAAATGTTTTAGAACTAGATAGAGGTGGTGGTTGTACCACATTGTGAATGAACTAAATGCCACTGAATTGTTCACTCTAAAATGTTTAATTTGATATTATGATAATTTCATCTCAACAGAAAGCATAATGAAGCATTCAAATGTAGGCATTTTATTATTACTAATAAGAACCTAGTGACACAGCTAAAGCTGTGAAGACACATGCCCTACCATGACAGTACCACTTCTAGTTCTCTTTCCTTTAATTCCCAGCTGAGTGCTCATCACTGGGTACATGAAGATGCACGGATTTTTTAGTAGGTGTGTTGTATTTTTAGGCATACAAGTCATTGTGCTTCCTTTTCTATCAGTCAGCTTATTTGGAATGGGGACATAACTCTTGATTTCTTTAGTTCAATTGTGTGTGCATGCTCAGTCATACTGAATATGACCCAGGGATGGAACCCAGGTCTCCTGCTTGGCAGGCAGATTTTTTTTTTACCACTGAGCCATCTGGGAAGCCCTTAGTTCAATTATCAATCCTGTTTAACCAAGTCTTAAAGATACCTATAAGTTGTGTTTCCTTCCCCTTGTTAACATCTTAAGCCCACTTTATCACCATGCCACTATACTAGTGTTTCTCAAAAGTGAAAACTGTGGATCACTAGCATCAGAATCACCTGGCCCCAAATCCAGACCTACTTAAACACACTATCTAGGGGGTGACCTCAGGAATGTGCATTTTTACTTTAAGTACCACTGCTATATGCTTTTTGTGTGTAGATATGGGGACATTGAGCTTACCAAGTGGCTCAGTGGGTAAAGAAGTTGGCTGCCAGTGCAGGAACCACAGGAGATGTGGGTTTGATCCCTGGGTCACGAATATCCCCTAGAGGAGGAAATGGCAACCCACTCCAGCATTCTTGCTGGGATAATCCCCATGGACAGAGGGACCTGGGGGGGGGCTACAGTCCATAGAGTCAAAAAGAGCTGGACACAACTGAGTGACTAGGATGCATGTACTTGGGCTATTAGTTTTAGTCTTGATTTACTTTTAATAATTAATTTACTAATTCATTCAACCGACCATATTGAGTGCCCATTAGGGCACTATGTGAGATACTGTAGTGAGAAATGGAAACCACGATTTGCACAAAACCAAAACAAAACCCCACAAACAAACAAAAACCCTGTATTGTGATTCACAAAATAGATTAACTGTGCCAGACTGTAATGTGCAACACGAAGTATCTAAACTCAAATTATTTTAACACCTGCTCATTCAGAATCGTGTATCCCAAGATCAGACCTATGATGGGATTAGTGTCCTTATAGCCATATGAGGTTACAGTGAGAAGTCAGCCGTCTGCAAGCCCAGCAGAGGGCCCTCCCCAAGAACCAAATCTACTAGCATCTTGAACTTGGATATCCCAGCCTCCAGATGGGTGAGAAATAAGTGTCTGCTGCTTAAGCCAGACATTTTGCTATGGCAGCCTGAGCAGACTAAAGACAGGAAGTGGAGATCTCACTGCATTCCT